GAAACGCTGATGGCAGCTGACGCTGGACTGGATCCATATGGAGCGTTCCGTCAGCGCCGCTGAGGGCGGATCCCCATCAACATTGCCGGCCATGCTTGAGAAGACTGGCGGCGACTTCTTCGGTCGCACCCAGCAGGTGTTCCTGGCAGCTTGGCGCGAAGTCGAAGGGGCAGAAGACCTGGCCCAGGAGTTGGAGGCGCTGGAGAGCGACGACAGCCAGCTGAGGTCTACACCGTTGTTAAGCACGCTGCAGCCGGCCTTGGCCGTCGGCCGCGCGAGCGGCCCCAGCGCCGAGGCATCTACGCGCAGTGCCACTACTGCATGCGCGGCGCCACCCTAAACGACAATGCGGCGCCAGATGAGGTGGGCGAACAGGGAAGATATTTTGAGTTGTACCTCGACCCAGGGGCGCGCGAAGCATTCCTGATTTCAGCAAGGGAACGTCAAGCCACCAGGTGGCTGGCGATTTCTGGGCAGCCGTGCTTAACGCTCGCGCCGCCGTCAATGCCGCGGTCATCGAGCGCGACGCCGATCTCCTGGCCAAGGAAGAGGTGTCCGGGCTGTCCAAGCTGGTGTCTGCAGCCATCCTCGGGGAGCTCACCATCTGGGTCAAGTGCAACTGATTCGAACTTCGACCACTCAGGGGCGCCCGAAACGTCATGGGCTGCAGGCGCGTCGACAGGTGGAAGCACCGGAAGGGTTCCGACGGCAAGGCCGCACGGATAATCCAGTGCCACATGGCGCTCAGAGGCTTCCGCGACATGGGCGCCCGTGCCCTCGGGGCGTTCGCGGGGACTGCTAAACGCGCCTCAAAGCGCATGCTGTTCTCGGAGGTGGGGCGCCGCCTGGACTGGATCCACGTCGCCGCGGACGTCGAGATGGCGCTCCTGCAGGGCATTGCGCATGCCGAGATGCAGGGACCAGGCAGAGCACCACGCGAGGTGAACTTCACCTTGCCGCCCGGCAAAGCAGCCACCCTTAGGCAGGCGCCCAGCTACGAGTCCGTCGACTCGAGTGCCGATTGCCTGCGTTGCATCGAGCCGGGCACGGGCTGCAAAGACGCACCCCGAGCCATCTCAACGAAACCCGCCAGGGTCGCGCGCTCGCCAGAGCGCACATCCAAACTTACCAGGTGCGACCCGGAGCTCGAGGTCGCGCAGGAGGCGTTCAGCATTTTCGTTGCTGGCGGGTCAAATATTGTGCTCATGTTGCCCAGGCACACGGGTGTTCTGAAGACCGCTGGACAAAAGGAGCGCGTCGACAAGTCCATCGGCCACGTCGAGGGCGTCTCTGTCAAGATGGATTACGACGACTGCATCCGGGGCGGCGTTCACCAGCACCGCGGCGCCGACAGTGTCGCGGCGCTGGGCCAGGGCGAGTACATCGACGCCCTGATACCGATCAGGCACGTCGACCTGGTCAAGGCGAAGGCCGACGAGTCCGCAGAAAGCCAATTACCCGACCTTGTTCGTCTCCTTGCTGGGAGTAGCTGCTTACGGCCTGCTTCCCCCGCGCCACGTCGCAGCGCGCTTCGCGGTGCTACATTTTGTCAACAACAAGCTGCCTAGACGACGAGCTACGAAGCTCCGCGCATCACTTTTCCTGGCATGGATTGCGCTGGCCAGAACGGCGCGCGCAGCGACGGGTCCGTCATGCGAAGGAGGAGGGGGCGGGGCGCGGCATGAGGGGCGCCGTTTACATCCGCCTCGGCAAGCGCCTCAGCACTGGCAAGGAGGTCTGCCACTTGCTCGATGCCGTGAGTCGCTCGCGCAAATCTGCGCGTAGGTTTTCGTTCGGCTCCGAGCTGTTCGCGGCGCGCGGCGCAGCAGATGGGCTGCAGGCCCACCTCCTCGCGCTCCACGAGATGTTCCGGGGCCGAGGCGGTCGGGGAGCTGAGGGAGGAAGGAGGATGGCTATACTGGCAGCGCTGGTCGTGAACCGGATGTCCGTCTTCGCCGCCATTGCCATGGAGCCTGTGCGCCCACTTTCAGAGCGCAGCATGGCAGGCCACCTATGGTGGTTACCCGACCAGCTCCGCACCGAGCTGATCACTGACATGGTCCGGTGCGAGAATCGTCATACGAGGGCCGACCACGTGACGAAGGGGGGCATCGGTCGGGAGCTGCTATTGGACATGACGCGCGGGAAGCTCAAGTACCACCGCGCCGCGGCCAGCCTGAGGAGCGAGAGGCGCAGGAAACAATGCCCAGCTCCCGCCACAGCGACCTCAGGACGGATGGGGGGCACGTTTCGCCGACAGGATGAACAGCCAGAAGATTCGCGACATGCATTTCGGCTGCAGGGCATCCCATCGGCGGTCGTGCGTCGCGAGCCGCGTCCGCGAATGCGACGCAAAGAGAGAAATGCAGCGGCATATCCAGAACTTTGATCGCGAATGCCACGTCATCTCAGAATCACCGCATAAGGCGAACGAAGTTCGCAAATGCGATTGAGTGAGCCATGCAGTTGAGGGGCTGTTGCCAGGGAGCTGCGTGCGTGAAGCAGCTGACTTTTTGGTGTGCAGCACGTTAATCGTCTTGCTGTGCTCCTCTAGTTGTCTGCTATCCTCCTTCCCTCGGCAACGTTTGATGAGGGACCTTCGTTGGAAAATGCCCCTGTTCAGACTTGCTTCCTGTTGCAAGCACTGTCGTGCGCGGGATGCGTCAGCTTGCTCCGGCTTGCTTGAGGAGCTCTGCCGGGAGTCGTTTTCGTCCCGCCTCGTGCGCCGTAGATTTGCACTTTGGGGGCCATGGTGCTTTGGGACGACGCGAAGTCAGGAAACTTCCGGAGCGCGTCGAATTTAGGCTCACCCATCCTGCTGCCATTGTTTACGGGGCCTAGTTCGTTGCAGCACGGCTTGCGTGCTGTAACCGGCGGGGCGCAGGCAGACCCGCTTGAGCACCAGACTCGAACAGTGGCCCATCAACCCGTCCTGCTTTCTCAGCCCTGTGATTATCTCTCTTTTCCAGGCGCCGCTCGGTCAGGGCACGGCAGGTTGCAGCCTGTCGTGCCCGTGTTAGTCGCGTTTTAACGCCCACGCTCACACTGCGTAACAGCACCGCTGTTGCAATCATGCGTTTTCGTAGTTGGGCGCCCGAGTTATCCGGGGTATCTCGGGTCCGGGGTAACTCGGGTTTGGATTCCCGAAAAAGGAACCCGAGTTAGCCCTGACCCGAGTTACCCCTCATGATTCGGGGCTCTGGACGCCCGAGTTATCCGGGGTAATTCGGGTTTGGATTCCCGAAGAAAGGAACCCGAATTAGCCCTGACCCGAGTTACCCCTGATGATTCGGGGCTCTGGACGCCCGAGTTATCCGGGGTAATTCGGGTCCGGGGTAACTCGGGCTTGGATTCCCGAAAAACGTACCCGAGTTATCCCTGACCCGAGTTACCCCTGATGATTCGGGGCCTCTTCAATAGTGTCCTCCCCCTCGGAGTCTCGAGCGGCTGGCCGGCGGGGCGTCTTGGGCGCGACGGGGCGTCCTTGGGGCCAGGCGCACGGCGTTCCCTATTCGGGCCCGGGCCGCGGATTGCCGCGGATCGGCCTCGGACGGGCTGGCCGGGCGGAGGCTGGGCAGGGGAGGGGGAATACAACGACGCGAAGATCGGGACAAAATCGGATCGGGATAACTCGAAATCTCTGAGAATCGGCGGGTTTGGAGGATGTATTGGGCGCCGCGGCCGCTCCAGAGCGTTTTCCGGAACGCTCTGAGAGCGCTCCGGAACGCTCTGGAGCGATTTATCCCGATCCTAGCCCTGTTTTAGGGAACGGGGGTGATGGCTGGCGATCGCTCGAGCACGTCCTTGACGTGCCGAGTCCGTTCACGCACATTGACAGCATAGTCGCCTGCACATCCACCCTTGCCCGAGAGACTCTGGACGGCCTCCGTCGATTCGCCAGGCGCCGCAGCGGCAACCGCACCCAACATGATGTCAGGCAACCCACGGAGCGATACACGATATGCCCCGAGAGGAGGTCACAGCATGAAAGGGAAGGTCGAACAAACAAACATCTCATTACTAATGTAATACCATCAATCATTATACGAATAGGATCTCGACAAATATTATTAGAACGAGTAACAGTAATGATGAGCAGAAGAATAGTTGGAATACGAAAAAAACGCAGCGTAAACATAAACGTTCGTCGGTCCGCTCGGCGCCAGGGTCCGCTGGTGGCGTCCCTGGCGCTGCCCCTGGCGCGCTCCCAGCGTCAAAGGGGAAGGCCCAGCGCAGATCCAAGAAATCCGCGTGGACCGACGACAGTTTTTGTTCACGGATTTGTCTCCTCATCCAAAGGGGGATCGAGGGGGGAGGATGGGAGGGAAGGGGAACGGGGAGGGGGCAGCTGACGGGTCATTCGGGGCGCGGGAAGTTGGGCTCAATGGCGTGTTGTCAAATCGATTTCCCTTCCACGAACGGTTAGGAGCTCGCTGTGCGTGTGCGACCTGCCTGTTCGCTCGTGGGGGAAGAAAGGGAAGAGAGGGGAAAGGGGCAGAAGGGGGGGCGGGGAGAAAGGGAGTAGGGAACGCAGAAGAGGAAACAGGGGAAGGGAACGTGAAGGAGACGAATCATGGGATGTGAAGGGGGGAGCGGGACGAGATAATGACAGTGGGGGGAGGGGACGAAGGGGAGGTAGGAAGGAACGGATTGGGGGTAGGGGGTGCCTCTGGGTCGCCGTGTAACCTTGGATTGGGGCACGTTGAAATTCGTTGCGCGGATCCCTGGCCTCCAGATGTTGTCAGTCACGGCCCGCGCCTAGACACTGTCGTGTGGGTAGCAGTTGGCTGGAGTGAATGAATACAAGCAGCGGTCCTGTAGGTGCCGCCGATCTGGAGATGCCGATATTCTAGTTGTTTACGCGCACGCCTGTCATTTTTGTGCGGGCCGCACCATTTCTACAAAGTTTGCGGTGGGTGGTATTGCCTGTCCTCTCATATCCGTGCCGCACAGCCGCAAGGAAAGCTGGTAGCAGCAGCGCGCGCCACCGCTGCGCCCAGGAAGCTGCGGACGGCCTCGCTAACATTGAAGAGCAGATAAAGAACGGCGAGGTCACTGCTGATACCGCGGTCATGCAGCCAATGCTGGTTCTCTCGTTTTGCTGTTTCGAACTGGTCAGAATTTAATCCGTTGGGCTTACGATGTCGCGCTCTCCGGCCCCGCTGTTTACCAAGCGTGCACATATGTTCTTTTCGCAGCAACAGCCTCATTGGAAGCTCTGGGATTTAGATGAAGTCTGGATTTGGGGAGCGGTAGGAGGCTGGAGCATCGTTTCCAGTCAAAGCGCAGCTACTCTGGTTATGCACGCGCATGCCACCGTGTCTGGCACAGCTTGGCGCTGGCAGGGACATAGTGAGCAGATCAGCAAGCCAGATTCGAACCTCAACAGGAGGGCCCCGCGACCGATCGCATTTGCGTGGCGTTTCGTGAGAAGCTGGAAGAAGACGAGGACTACAACGAGGAGGAGGAGGAGGAGGAGGAGGAGGAGGAGGAGGAGAAGGAGAAGGAGGAGGAGGTGGAGGAGGTGGAGGAGGAGGAGGAGACGGAACAGCAGGCCCTAGGGCCAAGGCCCTGATGGCACGAGACTCCCCAGGGTTTCATGGAGGCCTCCATGTAGGGGCTTCCGCAGGCCCAGGGAGGGCAAACGCTGCGGGAGGTGGGAAAGCTCGGGTTTCTACCCTCGACCACGGGCGATTGTATGATGGGCCTTTTTCCTCCTCCTCCTCCTCCTCGTCCTCCTCCTCGTCCCCCCGATCCAACTTATGGTGGTGGCGGTGGTGGTGGTGGTGGAAAACAGGCCCATCACGTGACTCGGTCGACGCGTGTCTTGTTACCCCGGCGGCGTTTGGTGAAGGCCGCGAGCTACTGATGTAAACATGCTTGGGTCAGGTCGTCGAGGAATCCGTGAAGAAGCTCGTCGCCGAGGAGGAACGTTGCCATGTCGTTTCGCGAGCGCATGGCACCGCAGAGTGGGTGGGGCTTTGGAGCTAGAAGCACAGGTCCCCCCCGCCCTTTTCGATTCGGCCATCCAGCGAGCGATCGACAAGTACGTATCAGGCAGGATGTGGCCACTACTGTTTTCGATGAGGCGATCACCATGCGCCAGTCTACTTGCGATTCAGAACCTGTTCATGTATCGCCAAGGGTCCAAACTGGGGGCCACTCTGTTTTACGATTGGTGCAAGGCTTGTTGGATTCAAGTATACGGGCCCAAACTGTGAGCCACTCTTATTTACGATGAGTGCAAGACTGAACGCGGTGAGCGTGAAGAGTATCACATCACTTGCTATCACACTGAATCGGCAGCATCATGTCAGTGCCTGCTGCACCAGTCTTCAGCATAGGGAGGAGGCAATCGATTCGGGCTGTTTGCGGCATGTTCCGTCCCCTACTCCCACAGCATTCCACCTTTCGCATCTCGGAAGTTCGCCACGTCCATCTAGGTGCAGTCGACTCTAAGTGTGGGTACGTCTGTGCGTGTGCGTGTGCATGTGTTTGTGCGTCCGTGTGGGATCAAGCTGGGCTGAGCTCACACTGCACGCCGAAAGCCCCTCTACTGCTGGTAGAAGCTGTCACGCACTGGGGTAATGCTAGTTCCTATTTAGGCATTGCAGGCGGTGCGCTCGGCACCTAGTTGTGTGCAGCGGGATTGGTGGACACAGTATTAAGTCGTCCGGAACCATCTTCAGAGCGGCATGCGAGTAGCTGTGGGCGTCAACAATTGCGCGGGGAACTTTGTGTCGAAGTCGGTTTCTGGTGCAGTAGCGCACCTGGCCACCACATTGCGCGGAGGTTTTGCTCGTCCACATGCTCTCAGCTCCGTGGGTTTTCGGGTTGCGCCCGACCCCCTGGGACAGGTTTTGCCTTTTTCATCTCGGCCTTGTGGCTCTTTTGCTAGTATATTGCTCTTGACAATCGTCTCATCAAATGACCGGTCTGCGTTTCAAAACACATGAATTCGGTGGCAAGTCATGGAAGCCTGGTGTACCCTCTTAATTCTGTCTTTAGCGTCGACTAGTGTCGATTAGCGTCTAGAGTCGACAAGACAGCGCCGATTTAGCGTTGGCTAGCGTCGATTAGCGTCGATTTAGCGTCGATTAGCGTCGATTCGCAAGAGTCGCCAAGAGATGGTACGGGAGGCTCCCATGACTTGCCACCGAAGATGAATCGTGTGTCCGTTGATTCATTTGCCAGTCGTCTCGTTAGCGTACGCCCTCATGGTCAGGAGGAGCAGCAGAATCGCATCACCACGGCGTGCTTCGCCCTTGCGGACAGCCCCCTCAGCGGCGACAAACGGACGTGCCTCGCTGATGCAATACCTCGGATGAGCTCGCTCATGCCACATTGCCCCGTGTTCTGCCAGGTTTGTTTGGGCGGTGCGTGCATCGGTTGAGTGTTGCGCATGCGCATGTGTTCTTGTGTGCGCGTGTGGGTGGGTTTGTTCATGCGTGTGTGTGTGAGAGAGAGAGTCTGCGTGCACGTGTGAATCTATGTGTGCGGTGGATCCGGTAAAGGTCGAACGCTACACATACGATCAGCAGTAGTGCACACTGCGCATGGGCGAGACGAACACGTCAAGAATGGTATACGGCACGCTAAGTGTAAAGCAATACAGTGTGGCAATTCATCGTCCCACGATTGCATACACGCACGCGGTTCACAGTGTTGGCGGAGGAGCAAGTGTGTGTGTGTGTGTGTGTGTGTGTGTGTTCGTGTGTGTATGTATGGTGTGCACGGCATTGTGTGCTTGCGCCCGTGTGCGTAATTACATTCATGCGTGGTCGTGTGTAGTCGTATGTGCGTGCTTGTGAAAGTGTGCGTGTGCGTTCGCGTGTGTGTGTGCGTGGCGCGGCATGAGCCGGGCCCGTACGCATATTCGCTTGACCTGTTCTACGCCGACCCGACGCGCGCGTGGTCGCTACGTCATCAGGTGTGTGTGTATGTGTGTGCTACTCCGCCTCGACGCCGCTCGCGAGGCCGCGCGGGGCCGCGACTGCCAAAAGTATGTGTGTGTGTGTGTGTTCGTGTGCCTGTCATGGTTGGCCCAATCTGGGTCCCTGCGCGCTCTGAGCGGCCCGCCGCGCGCGCCCGCCCGTTCGGTGGCCTTCTCCGCCTCGCCGCTGCGCGCGAGTCCGCGACCGCCAAGAAGTGTGTGTGTGTGTGCGTGTGTGTGTGTGTTTGTGTGTGTGTGTTTGTGTGTGTGCGTCTTGACTGGACGCGCCAAGACGCGTCGTTCTGGCTCTCGTCTCCGCGCCGCTTCGCGCGGTAGCCGATCCGTGGTCCACGTGACCCAGGACTCTGCTCCCTTGTTTTGGATTCGGCCGCTCGTCGGAGGCAAAGTGTGCGTAGGCGGTGTGCTTTTTCGATGCACTGCCGCACGCAATCCATAAATGCAGATTTGGGCCGTGCGTCGCTTGGATGCGGCGCTGGGGCGGGCTGACTCGGTGCGACTGGAGTCCAAGCGCGTGTGGGGGGGAAACCATGCCGTCAGGAGCTCCTTCCGTACTGTTTCCGGAGAGCGCCCCGGCAGCGCCACGTCGTGTTGCACGCTGGCAATTCATGCAGGCCGCCCTCCCGCCTCGGTTCCCCCCCCCGCCTGGCAGACGATCGGCCGCGCAGGGCACGGCAGTCACGCCCCGGACAGTGCTGGCGTGTAGCACGGGCCTGCGCCAGCCTGTCGTTGGACCTTTTAACCCACGCGTCTGGCCACTCTTTCGCCTCCTCCTCCCCTGCTCCCTGACGCCGAGGAGGACTCGCACCCGACCGATGCCGCCCGATTGGAGGGCCACATGCGAACCCTACCCCTGCCCCCCACGATTTCTGAGGGGGAGGGTGGGGTTCACTTCGCTCGGGAGCTCCCGAGCGAAGTGAAAACCCCACCCTCCCCGTCAGAAATCGTGGGGGGCAGGGGGTAGGGTCCGCATGTGGCCCCCTACGATCTGCAGCCGCCTTCCACAAGCCCCCCCCCCCCCGGGGGCCGTGGCCCGTGCGCCTCGCCCGTGCGCCTGGCCGATCGGGAGGAGGGTCGGTCCCGCACGGCTGCGGCCGGCCGGGTGCCCCGGAGAGGTGCGCAATCTCGCCAGGAGCAGGGAGTTCCCTGCTTGCCCAGCCGCGCACAGCAGGCACCTACTATAGAAAGCTATGCGGTCTTTAGTATAACCCGGAGAAGCAATTGAGAGCCCCCCCCCCTTCTCCGGCGAAAGGGTGACGCTCCAGCACCCTGGCAGGGTTACCCTGGCACCTCGCAACCTGCTTTGAACGCAGACGAGCCTGCCCGCCGAAACAAGGAAATCTCCGGAAACATTCTCGCAATCTGGCCTCCGTGTGGTTCTGAAACAAGCGCCTTGCCTGAGACATCCTCAGAGACTGCTCTGAACGCAGACGAGTCTGCTGTGGGGGAGTCTTATGGGGGAGTCCTATGGGGGAGTCCTATGGGGGAGTCCTATTGGGGGAGTCCTATGGGGGAGACCTACGGGGGACGAACTCCTATGGGGGAATCCTGGGGGGAAGTCCTATCAGGCGTTACCGTCGCAGCGGCAGTAGCACGAGTCAGGAGGGGAGTAGGAAAATCTACGAATCCTACAGATTCCCATTGGGATACCGCCCGAGCCAAGGCGCGGAAATATTGTTTTCCTTTCTTTTGCGCGGTGCTAAAGATATCGTTCCGCGAAAACCGCCCCCAGGAATTATTTCATTTCGGTGCGGGGCTAACCCCGGGGGGGTTCTTAATTGTTTACTGCGGTCATGTTTGCGCCTCTGGGAGATGGGTATGTTTGGTCTGGCGACTGGGCTCCTGTAGTATAGTCACGTGAGGGCGTGCGTGTAGTCGTGATGCTTATGATTTCGGGCAACTGGCCACTTCATATTTCGCCGCTGCGGAAGTTCGGCCAACATGCAGCGCCTCCCGTTAGGCGACGGGGCCCCGGTACAACGTTGTCAGTGGCGTTACGCCCGCGACCAGTCAGGAGACGTCAAAGGGGCCCGTTAGGCCGCGGGGCCCCAGTACAATGTTCTGTGAAATCATTGTTTTGCTCAAGTCTCGGGCGGAATCGCCCTTTCGATTTCGAACCCGATGGTTTCAAAATCCAGTCGAGATAGTTCCCAACCATCCTGTGGTGTTGGGTCCTCGTTTTGAAGAGACGTCGCCCCGCGTTCTCCTCCTCCTCCTCTCCTCCTCCTCCCCTTCCTCCCCCCTCCTCCCCCTCCCACACCCATTCTGGCACACCCCTCACACGCTTCGTGGCCCCATAGGGAGCTCCACCGAAGGCCCCAGTGGCTGCGCCCGCATGCGCTTCCACCCCCCATTCTGGCACACCCCTCACACGTTTCGTGGCCCCATAGGGAGCTCCACCGAAGGCCCCAGTGGCTGCGCCCGCATGCGGTTCCACCCCCCATTCTGGCACACCCCTCACACGTTTCGTGGCCCCATAGGGAGCTCCACCGAAGGCCCCAGTGGCTGCGCCCGCATGCGGTTCCACCCCCCATTCTGGCACACCCCTCACACGTTTCGTGGCCCCATAGGGAACCACACGTTTCGTGGCCCCATAGGGAGCCCCAGTGGCTGCGCCCGCATGCGGTTTCCACCCCCCATTCTGGCACACCCCTCACACGTTTCGTGGCCCCATAGGGAGCTCCACCGAAGGCCCCAGTGGCTGCGCCCGCATGCGGTTCCACCCCCATTCTGGCACACCCCTCACACGTTTCGTGGCCCCATAGGGAGCTCCACCGAAGGCCCCAGTGGCTGCGCCCGCATGCGGTTCCACCCCCCATTCTGGCACACCCCTCACACGTTTCGTGGCCCCATAGGGAGCTCCACCGAAGGCCCCAGTGGCTGCGCCCGCATGCGGTTCCACCCCCCATTCTGGCACACCCCTCACACGTTTCGTGGCCCCATAGGGAGCTCCACCGAAGGCCCCAGTGGCTGCGCCCGCATGCGGTTCCACCCCCCATTCTGGCACACCCCTCACACGTTTCGTGGCCCCATAGGGAGCTCCACCGAAGGCCCCAGTGGCTGCGCCCGCATGCGGTTCCACCCCCCATTCTGGCACACCCCTCACACGTTTCGTGGCCCCATAGGGAGCTCCACCGAAGGCCCCAGTGGCTGCGCCCGCATGCGGTTCCACCCCCCATTCTGGCACACCCCTCACACGTTTCGTGGCCCCATAGGGAGCTCCACCGAAGGCCCCAGTGGCTGCGCCCGCATGCGGTTCCACCCCCCATTCTGGCACACCCCTCACACGTTTCGTGGCCCCAAAGGGAGCTCAACCGAAGGCCCCAAAGGCTGCGCCCGCATGCGGTTCCACCCCCCATTCTGGCATACCCCATCACACGTTTCGTGGCCCCATAGGGAGCCCCACCGAAGGCCCCAGTGGCTGCGCCCTCATGCGGTTCCACCCCCCATTCTGGCACACCCCTTCACACGTTTCGTGGCTCCATAGGGAGCTCCACCGAGCGCCCCAGTGGCTGCGCCCGCATGCGGTTCCACCCCCCATTCTGGCACACCCCTCACACGTTTCGTGGCCCTATAGGGAGCTCCACCGAAGGCCTCAGTGGCTGCGCTCGCATGCGGTTTCCCCCCCATTTCGGCACACCCCTCACTCGTTTCGTGGCCCGGGGACGCCACCGAGGAATATATCCACAATTGCGGTAGTCACAACTACGTATGGTTGGGTCTTTCATCAGGCTAATTTTTTGAATGAAGTCTTGTGCGGGAGCGCCATTTCCAAATGGAACCCAAAAGTTTCGAAATCGTTCGAAACGGTTTGTTTGGAGGAAGTCTCAAGCGAAATCTCTGTTCAGAGATTGAACATTTCAATTGCCAGACGGTGTGGCCATTTCAAAACGATGGTTCTGCTTGAGACCTTCTCAAACAAATCGAACGATTTCAAAACCTTCGGGCGTGATTTTTCGACAGCGCGCGCCCGCCCAAGATCTCCTTTCAACCAGAACTCGAAACGCTTCTGGTCGATTTCGAAACGGCGCTTCCGCCCAGGTCTTCCCCCAAACAGAATTCGAAGCCGTTTGGTCTCGACGTCGACGTGGCGCTCCCGCCCAAGACTAAAAGTGGAAACCCTTCTGGTTTGATTTCGAAATGGGGCGCTCGCTCTCGCTTTCGGCACGCCGCGCCGCGGGGTGCACCTTGCGGTCCCTTCTGACTTGCACTCGGCCGCAGAGCCGTGACGCGGGTTGGGTGGCCGACAGCTCCGCGCTTCCGTCGGGAGCAGAAGCTGGGAGCCACAACTATACCTACATTGTTCAGGAGGGGAAAAGCACACAGACACAATTAATCGTTGATCCCCAGAAAATATGGGAAAATATGGGAAGTGGGGGGGAAGACAAAAACCCGGAAACTATGGGAAAATATGGGGAATATTTTTATTTGTTTGTATTTATTTGTGTGTCCCAGGGCCCCTTCAATTGTGTCACCTTGATGTGTCGTTCTTGGCGTAGCGGTTACAGTCTTCTGGTCCTCTTTCCCTTCTCTGCACCCATCATTGGAGTCTGTTCTGCGTTGTCTCGGTGGAAGCACGAGGCGGGTCAAACATCTCGTAGTGCCGATGTGTGCATGAACTGCGGCAAAGACAAAATCCTATTTCCAGTGCGCTGAGAGGTATGCAACACCTGCCAGGAATAGGGACTCCCCCCACCCACCCACAACAGGCACCCATTGGAAACCTGTTAGTTTTCATATGTTGGCACACATCGAAGACATGTAACGTGGGCTGGCGAATGTGCTTCAATGTTATAGTCAATAACGGTGTCGGGCAACCGGCAGCATAATCATTATGTGGGACACGGCTCCTTGGGAACCAGATGTGCATTCACACGCCTCTGCGCTGTCCACTGGCCGCCTGATCCCCACGTGTTGCAGCCACCACTGAGGATTTAAGTGTTGCCATTCGGATGTAACCACTGACCGCAAGTGCACACCGCAGCGTTCCAGATATGCAAGGGAGGTCGCACAAGGGACGCTCCATTCAGCTGCATGTTGCTCTCATTGCTTGTGGATCCTGCATGTCAGGTTATTCCCCAGCTCTTGCAGCGCCCTTTTGCCCCTCATGTGGTCTCGAACTAGTGGCGTTCCTCATGTTCCTCGCCACCGCATGGCACGCTGAATGATGACGCTGATGATAATGAGGAGGAGAGGCCGAGAAGGGATGACCACCAGGTGCGGCAGGTATGGGGAGGAGGATGCGGAGGGCGGGAAGGTGGCAGTGGAGAAGCAAGAATGAGGTGGACGAGGAAGATGATGAGGAGGAGGAGGGATAGGAATGATATCGGCGAGAGCAGGAGTCGCCACATGAGCAGGCAGAACAGGAGGAGCGGGCGCAGCATCAGTTGCAGGTGGGTGGCGAGAGGTGGAAGTGATACACGGCAGTTCTCCGAACGTGACCCCGCAACCACATCAGGTGCAAGGCCGACGTTGTAAACGGGATAATCGAGAAGAACGCCTGCGAGGGCCACGATCATGACCTTAAGGCTGCCTTGGGCGCCACCCGAGTACACACATATATGTACAGATAGATGTGCGTGTGTGCGTGTGTGTGTGTTTGTGTGTGTGTGTGTTAGCCAGCGTGGATCCTAAACCGTGCGTTTCCAGCAACAGGCGTTGTCCTATATATTTGGCGCAATATATGTGGTGCCGTAGGTGTGGTGCAATCGATCGTGCGCACTTTTATTTTGTTCAACACATGTTGTGCAACCTGTGTTGTGCCATATATGGTGTGCAGTCTGCGTGGGCCAGTATTGGAGTTGCACTCTGTGTGGTGCAACCTACGTTGTGTAAAATGCGTGGTGCAATCGATGTTGCACAGTTTATTTTAACAAACGAGTTGTCTCACCCCATGCTCTTGCAAGCACCCCACCCACCCACCCGCAACTTGGTTTGCAAAACCCACGCGGTGGCGATCGCGATGCATGGTTGGCGTTGGTTGGTTCAGTTCTGCGGCTGCGCCAATCCAAGCACGCGCGGGCAGCGGCCAGCTAGTTTGGCGCGAAAGACGCGGCCGCGGTGGCGGTGACCGCTGGGCACATCCCAGCGGGCACTTCACTGCGAGGGCGGGCGCGATATCATGACAACATCGACAACGGAAGACGCGATGATGATAGTAGCGATGCTGGTGGCGATGGTGATTGCGGCGGCGGTGCAGCCAGTGATGGCGCCGATACTGATCAGAATCACACCGGCGACGATGACGGCGTCTTCGCTTCGCGTCGGTGATGCAGGTTTTGGAAAGAGTTCGACACTTGCGCGCGGCACACGCGCGAGACTGGCCCGCATGGTATTATTTGACACGGGCCGTGCTCCCCCCCCCGCCGCGCGCAACGGCGTCCGAACGATTTTGGCATGCGCGCGCGACGCCTGTTGTAGCATGTTCTGTTAATGTTGAAAAGCTTATTGTTATCTTGAGAATGAGCAGAAGCGCGCAAGTTTGGTTTGGAAACCCGTGTTGCGAAACCATGTGTTTTTTTTATATGTTTTTGGATACTCGATTTTGAAATTTGTGCGAAACCGATGGTTTTTTGAAGCATTGCGCCATGGGCGCGCGACGACGCGCGCGTGTGCACTTCGTCTCATGTTTTGTAAAAGGGGGTCTTGATAATTTATGGTTTTTGATGAACGAGTGCGCGCGCATTGTATCTGTTGCAGAGAATGGCGGGGGGTGTCGATGCCGACCTGGCTGGTCTGGTGTGGATGCATATGTAGGATGGACGATGGGGCAAAACCATATATATATATATATATGTACATGTATATATATATATATATACACATCGCAAAACGATAAGGGGTGCCAAAACACCCAGGGGGTAGGGCTTTTTTTTTTTTAAAAAAAAAAGAAGAAAATGGATAATCGATTCGTTTCCATCTAAGCGGTGCAATTGATTTTAACGAACGAGTTGATTCACCCATGCTCTTGCAAACATCCCACCCATTCACCCGCAATTTGGCTGATAAGGCCCAGGCGGTGGCGATTGCGATGCATGCTTGGCGTTGGTTGGTTCAGCTCTGTGGCCGCGTCAACCCGAGCTCGAGCGCGCAGCGGCCAGCTAGCTTGGCGCGAAAGACGCGAACGCAGTGGCGGTGACCGCTGGGCACATCCCAGTTGGCACTTCGCTGCGAGTCGGCGACTTGGGCGGGCGCAGTATCATGGCAACGCCGACTACTGTAGACGCGATGGTGATAGGGCGGTGCTGGTGACGATCTTCGCACCGACGAAGGCGCATCCAGTGATGGCGCCGATGCTGATCACGCCGACGATGACGGCATCCTCGCGTCGGTGTTGAAGGTTTTGGAATGAGTTCGACATGCGCGCGCGGCCGACGCGCGAGAGTTGTTCGCATAGTTTTATTTGGCACGGATCGTCCCCCCTGCACATGCTCAGGCAAGGGCGTGCGAATGATGTCGGCATGCGGCGCCAGGGACCCGTTTGGCAGAATGCCATGAGCATGCTGAGCAAATATGTGTTCCGGAAGCATACGCAAGGGCGCGAGCGAATCTGATCTGTTTTAAGATATATGCGAAATCATAGGTTTGTGTATGTTGTTTGGGAAAGCGCGCCAGTGGATCACCCTGCAGTTGAAAAGGAGTCCAAACCGCCCCTCCCCCCCATCCCCCCTTCAAAGGAGGGGGGGGGATTTTCGACACCCCCCCCTCCCCTCGTTAAGGGGGTGTGGGGGGGCCGAAACCCCTTGAGGGAGGGGTGGGTGGGGGTTCCGGACCCCCCCCCACCCTTCCCCCGTTGGCGCTGGAAACGGGGGGCTGGCTCGACCCCCCCCCCCCCCTCCCCCCCTTTTGCGCCGAACAAGGGGCCGGGGAGACGGGCCTCTCCCGCAAGAGGGGGGGGGCTCTGGCCTCGGGATAGTGAGTAGTGAGTAGTGCAAGGATAGTAGTGAATAGTGAGTAGTGACCCGATAGTAGCGAGTAGTGAAGAGCGAATGGTGAGTAGTGAGTGGTGCGCAGTGAGTAGAGAGTAGTGAGTAGTGGCAAGTGAACAGTGGGTAGTGGGGACAGGGTAGTGGATAGTGAGTAGCGAGTAGGGAGTAGCGAGTAGTGAATGGGGAGTCGCGAATAGGGCACTGTGAGTAGTGAATTGAGGAGGGTAGTCAGTAGTGAGTAGCGAGTAGGGAGTAGCGAGTAGTGAGTAGGGAGTAGGGAGTAGGGAGTTGGGAGTAGTGAGTAGTGAATAGTGAAAATTGGAAGAGAGAAGTGGGAATTTAGTATTTGGCAGTGGGTAGTGCGTAGGGAGTAGAAAGTCGTGAGTAGTGGGAAGTGAGTAGTGAGTCGTGAGTTGTGAGTAGTGGGTCTTGAATAGTGAGTAGTGAGGTGCGACTTGTGACTAGTGGCTACTGAGTAGGGAGTAGGGAGTATGGGGTAGTGAGTAGTGGGTAGTGAGTAGTGCGTAGTGTGTAGTGAATATTGCGTAGTGAGTCGCGGGTTGTGCGTAGTGGGTACTGAGTCGTGAGTAGTGAGTAGTGAATAGTGAACACTGAGTAACGAGTAGCGCAGCGACTTGTGACAAGTGACTAGTGGGTAGCGAGTAGTGAATAGTGAGCAGTGAGTACTGTGTAGGGAGCAGGGAGTAGTGAGTAGCGAGCAGCGGATAGTGAGTAGTGAGTTGTGGGCAGAGAGTAGTGAATAGTGAACTGTGAGTACACAGTAGCGAGTTTAGTGGGTAGTGAGTAGTGCTAAGTGAGTAGTGGGTAGTGGGCAGTGAGTCGTGTTAGGGAATAGTGAGTAGTGAGTATGAGTACTGCGTAGTGAGTAGTGAGTAGTGACTAGTGAGTTAGGAGTAGTGAAGAGGGAGTAGTGAGTAGGGAGTAGTGGGAGCGTAGTGCGTAGTGAGTGGTGGGTAGTGAGTGGTGCGGATTGGGTAGCGAGTAGGGTGTAGGGAGTAGCGAGTAGTGAGTAGTGACTAGTGAATATTGTGTAGTGAGTAGGGAGTAGCGAGTAGTGGATAGTGAGTAGTGAGTTGAGAGTAGTGAGTAGTGAGTCGTGAAGTGTGAATACTGAGTGGTGCGGAGTGGATAGTGGTTAGTGGGTAGTGAGTCGTGATTTGTGATTTGTTCGTCGTGGGTAGTGAGTTGTGTTTTAGTGAGTAGTGAGTAGTGAGTATTGAATAGTGGATAGTGAGTAGGGAGTACGGAGTACTGAGTAGTGGGTAGGGAGCAATGGGTAGTGAATAATGAGTCGTGAGTAGTGGGTAGTGAGATAAGTGAGTAGTGAGCAGCGAGTAGTGAGTAGTGGGTAGTGAGTTGTGCGTATTGAGTAATGAGTACTGTTTGGGGCTAGGGGTAAGGTTCGGGTCTACGGTTTCAGGGTGAGGGGTAAGGGTAAGGGTGAGGACAAGACCCACTCCCCGCCCGCAAGCCGTCTCGCTCCATCCCACCCGCCCTCCCAGCACATACGTAGCACCCGAGTGTGGCCCGAGCCTGAGCATATTCAGCAGTCGTGTTTGGATGGGCAGCTACTGGGGGCCAATCCGCCGCCGCCGCCTCCGCCGCCGCCGCCGCCGCCGCCGCCGCCGCCGTTGCCCGCCGCCGCCGCCTGCCGCTGCCGCCGCCGCCGCCGCCGCCTGTCGCCGCCGCCGCCGCCGCCGCCGCCGCCGCAGCCGCGGCCGCCACCGCCGCCGCCGCCGCCCGCCGCCGCCGCCGCCGCCCCCCGCTGCCAAACCGCCGCCGCTGCCGCAGCCGCTGCCGCCACCGCCACCGCCACCGCCGCCACCGCCGCCGCCGCCGCAGCCGCCGCCGCCGCCGCCGCCAAGTGTACTATGTATTGTTTTTTGTAAGGGATGGCGGGCGGGGGGCCGTTGGGTGCGCATGTTCCGAATTTGGAGGAAGAGTGTGGTTTGCATTGTTTTTGTATCAGGAATGGTGGGGGGGTGTCGTCATGGACCCTGGTTGGCCTCCAGTCGCCTGCGGGAGGGGGTGTTTATCAATAGGGAACAGCGATTTAGCGCTAGGGGTGGTAGGGGTCGGATTCCGGAGCCCGGGGGCGCCGTGGCGAAAGGGCGGGAGGGGGGGGATTTGAATTTGGCGGCCAAAGGGGGGGAGGGGGGGGACGTAAAAGAACGCGAACGCCCTATAGGTCCGTTCCCGTTCCCGGTCCTGGTCCCGGTCGCGTTCCCGTTCCCGTTCCCGTTCCCGTTCCCGTTCCCGGTCGCGTTCCCGTTCCCATTCCCGTTCCCGTCTACCCCCCCAAGCCTTCTAGACGACCCAAGAACCGGGAACGACAACGGGAACGTCAGCCTCCCACAGCCTCCCACGGCCTCCCCTGAGAGGCCTCCCAAGGCCTCCTCTTCCTCCTCCTCCTCCTCCTCCTCCTCCTCCTCCTCCTCCTCTTCCGCCTCCTGCTACTACCACTACTACCACTACTAGTACTACTACTACTACTACTACTACTACTACTACTACTACTACTACTACTACTACTACTACTACTACTACTACTACTACTACTAGTACTAGTACTAGTACTA